TCCACACAACCTGACTGTGGTTGTGATGCTAAACCATTTCCAAGAATTAAAATGCTTCCTGAAGGAGATTGGTACTATGCTTTAGAGATGCATAATTCACCAGTTTCGCTTGGGGACACGAAGCTTCAAACGACACTGAGACAACACAAGTGTCAGGCTTTCAACAAAAATTTCTCCCTTCCAAACTCTCCTTTTATGTCTTTCCATATGATTAATATTAAAAACTTCTACAAATGCATCAGTACCAGTAATAATGCCCGTAACATTACGCAGAAGAAGAACGATCATTTTGCTGGTTATAATATGTACAAATGGCTGTGAAGGCTTTAACATATACTACAAGCTTTCCGAAGATGTTGATGAAAACATAGGAGCAGACAATCTTCCTACCAACTGTTTACTTATCAGATTGCCAATTCATTCAAGTCGTGGTGATTTGTTAAACCTGTTAGGTCCCGAAATTCTTGTAGAATGGAAACTGTCTGATGAATGTGGCGAATGCCATTATGGTGGAGGTCGATGCCAGACTGATAAAACCAACAAATTTTCTTGTCACAAAGGTAGACATCTCCAAAATAATCTATACTTTATAGGTCAAGTTCATGCTTCTTAAGTCCCTTTCTTGTTTCATGCCGCATAGATAATATATTTCGTATTATTGCCCCCTTCTGTAGATGCATAAACACCTACAAGTAGTACTGATCAAAGAAAAGAAACAACTTGAAGAAATGGAAGAAACATGGTGGAGCTGATTCTAGTCACAGGTACTAGAATATATTTAATTGCGTCCATGCTATTCTTATTACAGAATTTTCATGCATAACATTTGAATTCTCATCATTTTGTATAAGCTCAAAAACCTTTCTCTAGTGATAAAGAAACAAAAACAAGAGAATTAAATAGTTTTCAGTACACAAAATGTATGGATGTGGAATTGAGGGAAAAAAATTTCTCTGATGGGGCATGATTTCAATTTTTCCCACTGGTGCAAGTTTATCTATTGTTGGACTGTTGGCTTTACTACTCTTTTGCTTCAGAGAAAAAAAATTGTGGTACAAACACCTCAGGTTTTGGGAATCTAATGCTGAGGATCACCAAAAAGTTGAAGAATACTTAAAGAACTATGGATCATATGCTCCAAACAGATACAATTATACAGACATCAAAAGAATCACTGGTCACTTCAGAAGCAAACTAGGTCAAGGAGGATTTGGTAATGTGTATAGAGGAAGTTTGAGTAATGGGAGTGAAGTAGCAGTAAAGGTCCTGAATGAACTAAAAGGCAGTGGTGAAGATTTCATTAACGAAGTGGCAAGTATTAGCAGAACATCACATGTTAACATTGTGAGCCTTGTGGGATTTTGTTTTGAAGGTCACAAAAGAGCTCTTGTATATGAGTTCATGCCAAATGGATCTCTTGAAAAGTTTATCTATGAGGAAAGATCCGACAGTGTTCGCCAATTAGGTTGGCCAATATTGTACAAAATCACACTAGGCATTGCTCGAGGATTGGAGTACTTGCACCGTGGTTGTAATACTCGGATTTTGCATTTTGATATAAAGCCTCATAATATCCTTCTTGATGAAGATTTTTGTCCTAAGATCTCAGACTTTGGTCTTGCCAAACTGTGCATGAAAAAGGAGAGTATCGTGTCAATGTTAGGTCCACGAAGGACTATCGGTTATATTGCTCCAGAAATTGTTTGTAGAAACTTGGGAGGTGTCTCTCACAAGTCTGATGTCTATAGCTATGGAATGATGGTCCTAGAGATGGTTTGAGGAAGAAAAAATGTTGATGAAGGTGTTGATCGCACGAGTGAAATCTACTTTCCACATTGGCTTTATCAATGACTTGAACTAGACGAAGAGCTTCAACTAATCGGGATAATAAATGAAGAGGAGAAAGAATGTGCGAGAAAGATGGTGATGGTGACTTTATGGTGCATACAGACTGATACCTCAAATCGACCATCCATGAGCAAGATTGTGGAAATGTTAGAAGGGAACCTAGACTCTTTGCAAATGCCTCCCAAGCCTTACCTATATTCTCCGTCAAGAACCGAGTAGATTCTTCAGTAGTAGAACTGGCCTAGCCTTTATTTGCTCTGATAAAACTACTACAAAGTAGTTAAAATTTCAATACCCCCTTTCTTTAGTTATTGATGTGAATTTTTGAAGATTATGAATGTACTACTGTGAGAAGATTCTTGAGCAATGTATCTATGAATGAAAGTGATTCAATTTTGATTTCATTATGTAAGAGCTGTTGTATATACTGGCAGGTGCAAACCAGTGGCTCCCGTCCAAAGACCCTCTCTTTTTGTTGCCTTTTGGGGTCAAAAACTGGTGTAACAGAAAATGAATGGCAGAAATTAGAAAAAAAAAAACTTACAATATGAGGTACTACTGGAACTCCTGGAATGGAGGGGCCATGGTTAGAAATCTATGCAAGTACTAGTATCAATTTGAGTATTTCATATCACAGTGATATGCACTATTGTTTCAACCTTAGCCATAGGCTTATAGTGTGTCTTCCTTAACTTTGAAGAAGATGGCATGAAACATAGCCAAGCTTATTCTGTGTATACTCCGCCAATCTTGAAAATACTTTCTTGGTAGTATCTAATGAGAAAGTGAGCAAATGGAAGGTTGCATTTTTGTATTTACATACTATCTTTACGTGCCTTTTAGGGTGTGACGAGAGCCATTTCCTTTTTTATTTTCACCTTCGGATCTATCTGCATACCATTTAAATTTCAGTCAACTGAAATGAATATAGCTTCTATTTCTACAGTTCAAGTCATTTTCCAAAGATTTTGGTCCTGAAAATAATGAGAAGTTGCTGTTTGTTTGCAGACTTAAGAAGTCAAGTCTTTCCACTGGTGTCAATGGCTAGAAAGACCCATGTTATACGTTTGGTTTCTTTTTGACAAAGTTTACCAGTGAGAAAGACTTGTAATAGTTACAGTGTTTAGAAGTTATTGAACTTGATCTTATAAGAGATTTCTGGTGAGCTAGCTAGTATTACAATTCACAAACCTTCTACTCTTTCCTCTTCTTGCAGTATAGATTCAATATGACTTTGGCTTATTCTTTTATTTGCTTCCTTCTGATGTTAGTTCAGGCAAAGGGAAGAAATGATTCAACTTGTCCAAAGTTCTTTTCATGTGGGAATCTTACTGACTTGAGCTTTCCTTTCTCTCTTTCCTCACAATCTGATTGCGGACTAATGACGATGTCTGGTTGTGATACTAAACCATATCCAAGAATCCAACTGCTTCCTGGAGGGGATTGGTACAATCCTATGGAAAAACCGCATAATTTTACAGTTTGGCTCTTGGACCTGAAGCTTCATACCATGTTGAGGCAACGCAAGTGCCAGATTTTTAGCAAAAATTTCTCCCTTCATGACTCTCCTTCTGTTTCTTTCACTACACCTACACTTCACGACTTCAAAAATGTAACAGCACCAGTCGTAATGCCCCAAACACTACCCAGAAGAAGAATGATCATTTTGCTGGTTATAAAATGTACAATGCTTGTAAAGACTTTAGCATATACTACAAGCTTTCTGGAGATGATGATGAAGACATTCGAGCAGGCAATCTTCCTGCGAATTGTTCACTTATCAGATTGCCAATTGACACGTTAGCATCTGATAGAGATGTGTTCAAAATGTTAAGTCACGTTTTTCTGGTACAATGGGAACTGTCTTACGACTGTTACCAATGTCACCAAGGTGGAGGTCAGTGCCAGACTGATAAAACCAACAAATGTTCTTGTCATAAAGGTAGACATCTCCATATATGTACTTCATTTCAAAGGTCAAGTTAATATTATCCCCTGTTTAGATAGTTTTATTTTCTTCAAAAAATTGGGGTAGGGGCAGGGACGGAGCCATGTGGGAGCAAACTTGTATTCATTCAAAATTAAACATTTATTCTCCTTCTATCATTAATAGACTTTTTTTCTTAATCGGAGATAAGTTTTATAATATGAAACTCACAAGTGTTGGTGTTGCAGATGTTAGCATTCTAACAGAAGGAACATCAAAAAGGGGTTACCTTCCGACAATCTGGTTCAAGGTGGCCACAGGTATTGGTGTTGCAGATGGTCTCGCTTATCCTTTCCTATTAGTAGTCGAGCAGTACTCCTGTAGATTCTTGTTTCTAAAATTTTGTTACTATATGTTGCTTCTTGTACTTCATGTTTGTTATTTCCTTTTCCGAACTGCTTTTCTTTTTTCTCGAACCGGGGGTCTATTGGAAACAACCTCTCTACCTCTTAGGTAGCAGTAAGGTCTTCCTACACCTACCCTCCCCAGACCCTACTTTGTGGGATTATACTGTGTATGTTGTTGTATTCTCTGATGGGGCATGACTTCATTTTTTTTCCTTTCCTATTAGTAGTCATATTGGTGGCCACAGGTATTGGTGTTGCAGATGTTCTTGATTATCCTTTCCTATTAGTAGTCGTAGCAATAATCTTGTAGTTTCTTGTTGCTAGATTTCTGTTACTGTTACTGTCGCTTCTTGTACTTCGATTGTCATATTTTTTGTTGTAGTTATTGTTTAGAATGTTTGGTCATGCTTTCTATAGTATTTTGCCGTGGTTTCTTCATTTTTGTTATTTCCTTTTCCCAACTGTTTTTTTTTCTTGTCCCGAGGGTCCATAGGTAGGGTTAGGTCTGCTTACACCTACCCTCCCCAGATACTACTTTGTGGATTACACCGGCTATTATGTTGTTGTTGTAGTCTCTGATGGGGCATGACTTCATTTTTTTCGCCAATTAGGCTGGCCAATATTGTACAAAATTGCATTAGGCATTGCTCGAGGATTAGAGTACTTGCACCGTGGTTGTAACACTCGGATTTTGCATTTTGATATAAAGCCTCATAATATCCTGCTTGATGAAGATTTTTGTCCTAAGGTTTCCGACTTTGGTCTTGCCAAAATGTGCATGAAACAGGAGAGTGTTGTGTCAATGTTAGGTCCACGAGGGACTATTGGTTATATTGCTCCAGAAATTGTTTGCAGAAACTTGGGAGGTGTGTCTCACAAGTCTGATGTCTATAGCTATGGAATGATGGTCCTAGAGATGGTTGGAGGAAGAACGAATGTTGATGTTGGAGTTGATCGCACGAGTGAAATCTACTTTCCACATTGGCTCTATCGACGAATTGAAATAGACGAGGAGTTTCAACTAATCGGAGAATTGAATGAAGAGGAGAACGAAAGTGCAAGAAAAATGGTGATAGCGAGTTTATGGTGCATACAGACTGATCCCTCAAATCGACCATCGATGAGCAAGGTTGTGGAAATGTTAGAAGGGAAACTAGACTCTTTGCAAATGCCTCCCAAGCCTTATCTATTTTCCCCCTCAAGATCAGAGGTAGATTCATCAATAATAGAACTGACAACAACAACATAGCCAGTATAGTCCCACAAGGGGGGCGTGAGAAGTCTAGGATGTACGCAGACCTTACATCTACCTTTGTGGAGTAGAGAGGTTGTTCCCGATAGACCTCAAGCTCAAGAAAATCATTTTTCAGAAAATGGTTTGAAAGAAATGTAAGAGTAAAATGTTTAGTTGACTAAGAATTTGCTAGTACTTAACTAGCAAAGAGAAAGAAAGATATAGTTCAAGTGTTCAACCATATCCTTTAATTTCATTTTGTGATTTTCATTAGTGGTATAAAAAATGCTTTCTAAGATTTGAACCGAGTGATTGAAAAAAATATGTATATATTCATCTCACAATAATACTTGATGATAACAAATATTGAGGTATTTTAATACTTATAAAGAAAGTTTACTTTACAAGACTAATAATGAAATAATTATGGCTTCCAATTGGTATTATCTAATTGAAAATTGAAACCTATTATTTGCTACTCATTATAGGAATTATAAGTTATCATTGAATAATAATACATGTATATACTTTGTTGGGTTTTAAAAGGTGTAAATGGAAAATGAAGAGTTGCGACTTTTATGAAGAGTTGCAACTTTTATGAAAAGTTGTGACTTTTATGAAAGGTTGTGACCTTTCCGAAAGATTATGACTTTTCCAAAGGTTTGTGACCTTCCGGTAAGGCACAATAAGAACCTTTTCATACTACCCTTTGTTTTCTATAAATTGAGGGATTTCCTTTCATTTTAGTTGAACTAATTTTTTGGACTTCTTCTGCTACTACTAAATCTAGTATTTTAAGTGTACTTTACTGCCGTTGAGTAGTTCGCTGACACCGTGGTTTTAGGTACCGATACACCGGTGAGTAAGATCGTTCTATCTTGGGAGAATATATTCCATTAACCTCGGGTACTTGAGGGGAATAATTTCCTTAAGGGGACACTGTGCATTCAATGGGCTCAATTTTCTTCTTTAAGAAAAATATTTCGTATATTGTTTCTAATTTGTATCTAATTCTACTTTCTCTACTAGTTTTAATTTTCTAGTTTTGAAAATGTTCTTTAAACTTTGTTGTTTTTTATCAAGTTCTTCAAAATTTATGTTCTAAATATTTTAGGAGAGAGGAAACTACAAATTACCAACAATTTAGCCGTTAAACTAAAACTATGGGAGATCAAGGTCCAAATCTAAACCTTTTTCAAGATTAAAGTAAGTTCTAGCAGTTTTTCTTTTCCTTCAATGATTTTAGAGCTATTGCCCTTTTATATGCTTGGAAAAGAAGCAAATAACATAGGAAAGTTAATACAAGATTAAATGGGAAAACTATGAATGAAATAAAAAATAATTGTGTTATGGGGTATTTCTCGCTTTAATGGATATTAATTATGTGATGTAAATTCAAATTAATCAAGCTTCAAAAGTAAATTCCAGACATCAAAATAACAAATACAAAAAACAAAACTAGGTGTTTTGCCTAATTAAAAGTCTCACATTCAAGTCACGAGAATAAAATCATTTTTGATAGAGAGCGCTTTACTTTTAACTTTTCCAAAATTATCTAAGTATTATAAAATTTAACAAGAATTGTAAATGTCAAGTCACAAACATGAATGTAACAAGCATTTACTTTTCAATGCATTAATGAAAGATGGAAAAAAAACAGGTGAGTGGATTTTAGTTGGAAAAAATGTAATAAGGTTTTTTTTTTTATTGAAAATGACTTGAGATGACTTTGGCCTAGACAATTGATGTTGTGTGATTTGTGTGATTTCAAGTGCTTCAATATATAGAAACATTTATATAACAAAATTGACATCTACCAAGTTTCTCTACCCTTAAATTTTAGTCCATTATTTAGCAATGTATGATGTTTATACAATGCACTATCGAGAAAAACGATCTTCAGTAATTATTTACAACTTAAATAGAAGAAAAAGATCTTCCAAATTGAAGACTTAGACCATCTCCAACCCAATACAAATTTTACACCAAATCCTTATTTGGTGTAAAATTTGGTGTTTTGGAGCTCCAACCCAATGCCAAATTTTACACCATTTTGGTGTGTGAATAGTGTTACACAATTTGGTGTAACACTATTCATCATACCAATTCACTTTATTGAATATTTTAATATTATTTCATTATACAAAAATTTAATTAAACATTATATAAATTGTATATTTTAATTAAATCTCTTGTATATTTAGTTGTTTTTATAATATTAATTTTAGATATAAAAGTTAGCTTTTTTTATAAATTAACTTTTCTATATATGACTTTTTAAAAAAATTAAATTTATGTTAATTCTACTATTGAAAAATTATGGTATAAAATAATTTTATATCAAACGACTATAAAAGAAAATAATATGAATTATATGGTGAATGTTTTAGAAAGAATTTGTTTTATGAAATAAGAAATAATAATATAATAATGAAGAGAGAGAAAAATATTACTTTTTGGTGTAAAATTTGGTGCAGTGGGTTAGAGTTGATTTACACTAAAATAGTAGTGACACCAAATTTGGTGTTTGGGTTGGAGATGCCCTTATGTGTCTTATTTACTACTCTATTTGTCTAAGTTTATATGACTTATTTTTCCTTTTAATTAGTAAAAAAAAACACATTTCTATATTAAGTAACAATTTAACTTTAAAATGTTCATTTTATCCTTAATGAAATTATTTGTAGCCACACAAATATTTATCACGTATTTTAGACCACAAGTTTAAAAAATCCTCCCTTCTTTCTTAAATTTCATGTCGAATCAAACTAACTCATAAAAAATGAGACATTTTTTGTTATATATTATCATGAGCAACTTTCCCATATAGCAAACAAAAAAATCATATTTGTATGCTATAGCAAAGTTTGCATAATTGCGCTCCATAGCAAACATATATATGTATAATTCGCTATACATATACAATTGAAAGCTATGTCTATTTCGCTATACATATATACAAAAAAGAAGCAATTGTATAATTCATTGGCTCCTCTTCAGATTTGTATAATTTTGCTGGCAGACCATTTGTATAAATTGTTGTTTGCCTCTCGTTTGTATAAATCGTTGACAAAAATATTTGTATATCAAAAATCGCTCTCTTTCGCTTTATACAAACATAAATTATACATTATATTTGTATAATCTGTGTTTGTATAAAACGAGAAAGAGAGAAAGTCAAAAGAGAACTGGGCAGGGGAATATTTTTATTGTATAATTATAAGTGTATAAGACGAATATATATGTATTTGCATGTGTATATACAATTTTCTCCTGCTTTATACAAACAGAAACACAATTTATACATTTCTGTTGTATAAAGCGAGAGAGACGAGCGACAGAGAAAGCGAGCGAGAGTTTGATGGAGAGAGGCAACTGTCAAACAATTTGCTATAGGGCATAATTAAATCAAAGTGTGGTTATATCATTTAATTTGAATTAATAGTTTGTCATTATGTACAATTTCCCTATTATCATTGCATCTAACTCTTAACAGGCTGTTAAAGGTGTACATTTGGGCCCTACATGCATATTTGGGCCTGTTTGTTCCACAGTCCAAGAAAGGTATTCAATCATTATCCAAAATGGCCCAGTCCACTAGCAATGGTATAAAGGAGTTGGATTCTAGCACCAAAAGGTATTTATATTTGTAAGTTGGTCCTCCCAAGAATGTGTCAAATCAACAAAAAATGTCAAGATGACACAATGGAGACTTGTTACGGATGTTTAAAATGTACAAGATTTATTTGATTGACTAAGTAAAAAGTCATTCCAACTTTAGGTGTTTGTCGATGGATTCCACCTAATTTCTTTGAATAGGAAAATCAGTGTTTTAAAAGGCGGGGTTCTGAGGCGGGACGTTTTATGTAGTACAAAGCGAGGACATAAGCCCCGAGACACGGGGCGTAAGTCTTATGGATCTACGAGACGTAGTCTCATGTATATTCAATTTTATACTTTTATTACTAAGAAAATAAACAAAAGTAAACCTTTCAATTATTTTACAAATAAACTTTAATAAATAACCTATAATATATAGAAAATATTATTAGGATTGTTATTTCAGGAAGGTATTAATAATCAATAATGAAAAAAAAAAGTATTACAATTACTATTTGAGAAATATCATTACATCAATAATAAAAAATATATGCTTTAAAGTAAAAAATGTTCAAAAACAAACAAAAAAAAGGAGCAAGGGCCTCCAACTTTGTGGATGTAAAATATATTAAGTGTAGTTTTTAAAATTTCCAAATTTTAAAAATGTTGAGTAGGACCCTTGCACCTATACCCTTTTGGTTTCATCCATAAATTATTTGTCCTATTGGAATTTTGGGTCAATTTTGGCTCCCTCTAGGCATCCTAATTAGTTTGTTTCTTCTCATTTTCAGGAGTTAATATCTCAAAAGGTCACTCAACTTAAAAAAACTATCTAGTAAAGTCATTAAACTTTATTTTGTATCAAAAAAATCAATTAACTCAGTTCTTTATATCAATAAAATCACTCACTCATATTCATCTTTAAAAATTATCTAGTAAAGTCTAAATATTGATGCAAGACTTCAAGTCTTTGCACCGAGATACACGTTTCTCACAAATTTTCCAAATCAACTATGCTTTTAAATGTTAAGTAAAGTAAACAAATGAGTACATAATCTAGTCTTCCTCTTCTTGAGATACTTAATATGGGTATCACTTCATTTGTAAGCTTTCTTCTATCACTTCTTCTAATCTTAGTTCAGGCAAAGGGCAGAAATGTTTCAACTTGTCCAAAGTCATTTTCATGTGGAAATTTTACTGACCTGAGATTTCCTTACTCTCTTCCCACACAACCCGATTGTGGAATAATGCCCATGTCTGGTTGTGATGCTAAACCATATCCAAGAATCCAACTAGTTCCTGGAGGAGAATGGTACTATGTTTTAAAGATGCATGATTCATCAGTTTGGCTAGGGGACCCGAAGCTTCAAACAACCTTGACGCAACACAAGTGCCAGGCGTTTAACAAAAATTTCTCCCTTCCATACTCTCCTTCTATTTCTTTCAATATGATAAATATTAACAACTTTTTCAAATGCATCAGTAGCAGTAATAATGCTCGTAACATTACGCAGAAGAAGAACGATCATTTTGCTGGTTATAATATGTTCAACATGTTAGGTCCTGAATTTCTAGTAGAATGGAAACTGTCTGATGAATGTAATGAATGTCATTATGGTGGAGGTCAATGCCAGACTGATAAAACCAACAAATTTTCTTGTCACAAAGGTAGACATCTACATATATGTACTTATCCACTGTTTTAGAAATTTGGGTAAGGACAGGGGCAGAGCCATGTGGGAGAAAAACTGGAGTTAGTGCAAGGGGCGGAGCCATGTGGGGGCAAACTTGTCTCCATTTCAAATTAAAATCTTTTTCTCCTTCTATCATTATCAGACTTTTTTCACTTAATCGGAGAAAAGTTTTATAATCTGAAACTCACAAGCTTTGGTGTTGCAGATGTTATTAAAAGTATTGGTGTTGCAAATGTTAGCACTCTAACAGCAGGAACATCAAAAAGGGGCTACCTTCAGATAATCTGGTTCATGGTGGCCACAGGTATTGGTTTGCAGATGCTCTCGATTGTCCTTTCCTATTAGTAGTCGTAGCAACACTCCTGTAGTTTCTTGTTTCTAGATTTCTGTTACTGTCGCTCTTGCTTCTTGTACTTCAATTGTCATATTTTTTGTTGTAGTTATTGTTTAGAATGTTGTTGTTGTAGTCTCTGATGGGGCATGACTTCATTTTTTCCCCACAGGTGCAAGTTTGTTTACTGTTGGACTGTTGGTTTTACTCTTCTGCTTCAGAGAAAAGATTTTGTGGTACAAATACATCAGGTTTTGGGAATATAATGCTGAGGGTCATCAAAAAGTTGAAGAATTCTTAAAGAATTATGGATCATACGCTCCAAACAGATACAATTATACAGACATCAAACGAATCACCAATCGCTTCAGAAGCAAACTAGGCCATGGAGGATTTGGTAAAGTATACAGAGGAAGTTTGCGTAACGGGAGGCAAGTGGCAGTAAAGGTCCTGAATGAACTAAAAGGCAGTGGTGAAGATTTCATTAACGAAGTGGCAAGTATTAGCAGAACATCACATGTTAACATTGTGAGCCTTGTGGGATTTTGTTTTGAGGGTCACAAAAGAGCTCTTGTATATGAGTTCATGCCAAATGGATCTCTTGAAAAGTTTATCTATGAAGAAAGATCCGACAGTGTTCGCCAATTAGGTTGGCCAATATTATACAAAATCGCACTAGGCATTGCTCGAGGATTGGAGTACTTACACCGTGGTTGTAACACTCGGATTTTGCATTTTGATATAAAGCCTCATAATATCCTACTTGATGAAGATTTTTGTCCTAAGATCTCTGACTTTGGTCTAGCCAAAATGTGCATGAAGCAGGAGAGTATTGTGTCAATGTTAGGTCCACGAGGGACTATCGGTTATATTGCTCCAGAAATTGTTTGTAGAAACTTGGGAGGTGTCTCGCACAAGTCTGATGTCTATAGCTATGGAATGATGGTTCTAGAGATGGTTGGAGGAAGAAAAAATGTTGATGTTGGAGTTGATCGCACGAGTGAAATCTACTTTCCACATTGGCTTTATCAACGACTTGAACTAGACGAAGAGCTTCAACTAGTCGGGATAATGAATGAAGAGGAGAATGAATGTGCAAGAAAGATGGTGATAGCGAGTTTATGGTGCATACAGACTGATCCATCAAATCGACCATCGATGAGCAAAGTTGTTGAAATGTTAGAAGGGAAACTAGACTCTTTGCAAATGCCTCCCAAGCCTTATCTATTTTCTCCCTCAAGTTCAGAGGTAGATTCATCAGTAGTAGAACTGGCCTAGCCTTTATTTGCTGATATCTAAGCTACCATTTGTGTAGTCTCACTTTGTTATTGTAGGTTTTAGTATCTATTTTTGGTATTTTTATAGTAGTTTTGTTGATATTCTAAGTTACATCAAATGTGCACAAGAATAGACTTAATTATCACTATAATGAAGGAAAATGTGTTAAGAATCTAAGTTGGTACTGAAGAAAATGCAGTCTCAAACTTCAATTGCCACTACATGTCATTGCATTTTATGTCAAAGTTCAATGTACTAAGCTTATGCTATATTCAGGTCCAGTAAAAAGTTGAAGCACATTAGGTTTGTATTCCGCATTCCGCAACCTTGACATGGTCATAGCCGATAGCATTTATTGTTCACTTTGGGCAACAGGCCTCACAGATTTGTCTCTTGGGCTACACCATCATTAAGTGCAAAAGCGCAGTTACCATGGAAACTTGTGTTAACTCATAAAATGACCTAACTTTATAAATATTTTTTATACGATCAAAATATATAACATTTAAACTCGCGAAAAAAATCATAATATCCCTTTTTTCCTTCCTTATTTCTCTCTTTACCACATTAGACTTTTGATGGACATCCCTTCTCTTACATTTAGAATTTTTAATGGACATCCACTAAATACTCTTATACCAAAACCTAATTTTTAGCAAAAATATTATCATTTTTTCACCTATAAAAACCACCCTTGTCCTTATCATTCTCATATTATCTTTTTCTTCCCTCTTTTTAACTTTTCTCATAGAAAAATAGGAAAGCATAGAGGGAATTAAAAGAAATAATGGCTATTAACAAAAATATTACTAGTATCTTTTTAATTGTCATTGTTACTATCTTTATTTCAAGCAAACTTGCATGGGCACATGAGGAAATACCCCATCCCCACCCCCAACCTGACCCCCACCACCCCCACCCCCAACCTTGTCCACCTCACCCCGACGTCCACCCCGACGCCCACCCCCACCCCCACCCCCAAGGTCCTGAGGGGCCAGTATTTGAATTTTCAGGAAGAAGATTTAAAATGGAACAAGGACATGAACAATGTTATGTAAGTTGTTATAAAGGTATTTTTGGTGGTGAAGGAAGTCCATTATATGCTGAACAAGAATGCTATGACATGTGCCATAACCATGGTAAATTTGTATTCCCAACTTTTAGTCCTCCTCCTCCTCAACCATAAGTTTAATTTCGATTTCAACGTATCGAGAACAAGCTAGCTGCACTAGCTCAATCAATCTGTTATGATCCAATTTTATTTGGGCCATGTGTTATTATTTGAGGAGTCAAAGAGGTTATTCTTTGATTGCGCTTTTATATATGGAGGCACATGTTTTTTTTTTTTTTTTTTGATTTCATGTCATATCAATTTATAACCAACAAGATCTCTTTGATATGTAATTTATGTTGGTGATCATTTGTAATGTTAACATTTCAATGAAATACATTTCACTTGGCATGAATGTGATGAACTTATTGATTTGTGTTACACTTTTATATTTGTGGATACATTATTCTAAAAGAAAATAAATTAAATTAGAACAACACATGCAAAACTTGTGAAGGATATAACAGGACATACATATAGAATAAAGATAGTATCAATAATATAACAAGATAGGTAGAATAAAGATACGTTCATCGTGCATAACTTGTGAACATGGAAAGACTATTAGACAATTTGGCAAGAGTTGTAAATAATTTAAAAAGGTAAACATATTGAAAATTGTACTAAAATTATGCCCCACCAAATATAATTTGTGAAGTGTATCGGAGCTAGTTTGACACAAATTACTTTAAACGAAAACAAAAGTAACACGATATTGGCCCAAATGTTCACTAATTTAACGACATATCCAAGTTATTGTTGTATTTTAAGAGTTCTAAAATTTTACGTTGAGATCATTGGTTTCATATCAAATTTATGCGATATTTTTTTAATTTTAAAAGTTAAACGAGTTTTTCTTTAATCATGATATTTTTTATATTCTTATAATTAAGAATGTTAATTATTATAATTTATAGTACTTTTTAGTTTTTACATAGTAAATTTTATTTCAAAAAAAGTTTAAGCTTTCATATTCAAATACACGTTCAAAATTGAAAGTTTGACTCTAATTAACAAGTATCACGAAATTGAGATAAAAAGAGTAATTAATCTTGATAAAAATAAAAACCCAACACAAATGGTACTATAGTTTATTGTCTAATTACGTGTCTTTCCTTTAGTTTTTGAAATTATTCGAGATACACGCGGGGTCAAAAATTAAGTGCAATTTATTTCAGATACATCATATATTCAAGCGTGATTCACATGTACTATCTGGTATACACTAACTCTCTCGCTTCTCTCTCTATGTATCTGTATTTCAGAATGTATTTAATATCAAAGATACATGTACATATCTAGTATCAAAAGATACATGTTGACTCTCTGTCCCTCTCTCACTCACCTCTCTCTATATATATAAATGTATTTCAGAATGTATCTTGTATCAAAGATACATGTATCTAGTGTCTCTAATACATGTATCCTACTTGAAATCTAGTATGAAATTATTAATTAATGAGACAATATTTAATTGTTTTAAATGATAGAAATATTTGTATAATTAGATAGTATTAAGTATAAATTATAGGAACCACATATTATAAGTACTAAATAACATCCTATCCCTTCTAGTTTTCTATTTACCAAAAATCCCTTAAAAATGATGTTTGCGGGATACATTAGGTTTGATACATTCCACATAGTGGAATACATAGCGTCGTGCACGGGATACATTAGGTTTGATACATTCCACATAGCAGGATACATAGCGTTGTGCACGGGATACATAACGTTGTGCACGGGATACATAGTGTTTGATACATTCCACAAAGCGGGATACATATCGTTCTGCCCGGGATACATGCTGGATACATAGGTAAATAAGCGATTTTTGAAATAAGTACGGATAAATGGATATTAAGGTAAGTAAATGAGTGTAGTTAAGTAATTTGTCCTAGTATTAATCGACCACTATTGTCTAATTTGTGTATAAAACTTAAATAGTCTAAAACTCTAAACAAATAGGGCCTCTATTAAGGATGGACCCATTGGGCCTAAACCCGTTTAATGAACCGATTTGATTCGATAATTCCCCAAATTCAGTTTGCTTCAGCTCACATTCTTCATCAATGGCGGCTTCTTCTTCTTTACAATTCACTGCAACACCTTTTAACCAATTTCATTCAAAACAAGTACCCAAACACGCCACTAAATGGGGTACTATTCGCTGTTCCACTGCTTCACCCAGCAAAAGCTACAACATTACTCTTCTTCCCGGCGATGGTATTGGCCCTGAAGTCATTTCTGTTGCCAAAAATGCTCTCCAACTTGTCGCCTCCATCGAAGGTAATATATTTTTTTCTATATATATAAAAAAGATTGTTTCTTTGATTCTAATGTGTTGTTGAATATGTGCATTTTATGGGGTTGATTTCTCAAATACTTATTATCTCAGAAAGTCAATCCTGATCTTGATTCCATTGTTTTTCAATAAAGAAAGCGACTTTTTGAGATAATAACCATTGGTCGAGTGACCATATGAGAAGTCAGCTCCATTTTATCTTGAAACGAGTTTAATTTTTATGGTGATTAGCATAAACAATGTCTAAACGATCAGAAGTTATGGTAAATCGCTTGACAAAGAAAGTGACTTTTTGAGATAATAACTATTGGTTGCGTGACCATATGAGAAGTCAACTCCATTTTATCTTGAAGCGAGTTTAATTTTTATGGTGATTAGCATAAACAATGTTTAAACGATCAGAAGTTATAGTAAATCGCTTGACAAAGAAAGTGACTTTTTGAGATAATAACTATTGGTTGCGTGACCATATGAGAAGTCAACTCCATTTTATCTTGAAGCGAGTTTAATTTTTATGGTGACTAGCATAAACAATGTTTAAACGATCAGAAGTTATGGTAAATCGCTTGACAAAGAAAGTGACTTTTTGAGATAATAACTATTGGTTGCGTGACCATATGAGAAGTAAACTCCATTTTATCTTGAAGCGAGTTTAATTTAGCATAAACAATGTTTACACGATCAGGATTTATGGTAAATCGCTTGACAAAGAAAGTGATTTTCTGCGATAATAACTATTAGTTGCGTGACCATATGAGAAGTCAACTCCATTTTATCTTGAAGTAAGTTTAATTTTTATGGTGACTAGCATAAACAATGTTTACACGATCAGGATTTATGGTAAATCGCTTGACAAAGAAAGTGATTTTCTGCGATAATAACTATTAGTTGAGTGACCATCTGATAAATCAACTCCATTTTATCTTGAAATGGGTTTAATTTTTATGCTGATGGTGTAACAATGTTTACACAATCATGAGTTATGGTAAATCTGTTGATAATAATTAATTAGTAATTTGGTAAATATTAAGAAGTAACCCGCTATTATAGGTTACTCCCTTTGTTTCAATTTGTTTGTATCGTTTTTGACTTTGCACTAAGTTTATGAAAGTAGAAGACGGTTTTTGAATATTGTGGTCTTAAACTAAAGATATGTAGAATGTACCAAAATATTCTTTAATCTTGTGGTCGTAAATGTGCCATGTCGAAAGTTAGAAGTAAAGAGTTAGAGGAAAGGAAAAAGACATTCTTTTTTAAATGGACTAAAATGAAATTGAAACGGTGGGAGTATAATTTACTGTCTGTCTGTGTATATAGCTAAATTGTTTTGGAAAATGTTAAGAAATGGATGTCTTAAACTGTTTTTGGGATGAGAGTGACCCATATGTGGATACTGACATCTTGATTTGAATTTGTTATGGCACTATTATTCTTTTGGAGTTAAATATTTTAGTGATTTTAAGTAGGATTTTAAGAATATTTTAACAAGTATAAAACATGTAACTTGATGTCCAAGTTCATACTGTTTAGCTTGGTGGCGTAGCCAAGAATTTTAACTACGGAATTCAAAAGATTTGAACTTGTGGCCTGAAGCAATTTTTGAACTA